AGTACCTTTCCACTGCCAACTTTGGAAAACCGCTGGATAACTGTCGCCACCGATTATCTAACGCGGTACGCCGAGGCCAAGGTCCTTCCGTCAAGAACTGCAGTTGAAGTCGCTAAGTTTTTTTTTGTGTCCAACATGCTTAGGTACGGCGCTCCCGAGTTGCTAATTACCAATCGCGGGTCGTCGTTTATGGCGCAGCTGACGCGAGAAATGCCTTACCTCAGCCACACCAGCCATCGTCGCACCACGGCATACCAACCGCAAACCAACGAACGGGCTGACGGAGCGGCTTAACAAGACAATCGCCGACATGGTCTCCATGAACGTCGACGTAGAGCACAAGACGTGGGACGAGGTGTTGCCATACGTCACGTTCGCCAACAACACTGGGGGCCAAGATACCACCGGAGTTGCACATTTCCAGCTGGCACATGGTCAATAGGTAACGATGATGCTCGACGAAATGCGGCCCCATGGATCCAGCTGACGATGGGAGCGACGCCGCCCAGGTGTTTGCGTGACAGGCCAAAGAAGTCCGCCAGCTTGCCCGATTCCAGATTCAAAACCAGCAACGTGTCGACGCTAGAAGTTACAACCTTCGTCGTGGGGACGTTCACTTCCAGCTTGGTGACAGGGTGCGCAGCGTGGACACCTATTTGTCACCGCGGCCTCAGCGAGAAACTGTTGAAGCGATACTTCGGGCAATACAAGGTACTTCGTCGCCCCGATGAAATGTAGACACCATCATGACGGCAACCACGACCCGAAGTTGTTCACATCGTTTGACTTAAACCGTTCGACGCTCGGTAGCACTGTGTTTTCTGTTTTATAGGGGCAGCTAGCCGTGCTCGCAGCTAGGCAAGTCAGCAGCGCGCTTGGCTCTCCCGCAAGCGGGCCGAGGTTTGATGCCTGTTAGCGGAAGCGCCTTTTTGTAATTTTCCTAATTGTCGCGTTCAGGTAAGTTTCAGAACCCTGGTGCTTGTTTGCGGCCCGAATGTTCTACGCGCCGAACCTTCTACGCCAATAGACCGATGCCACCAAGCGAACTGCGCAGGCGCGCGCATTCTGGAAGTATCGCCGCCGCCATGCTACTTGTAGTCATCGCTCTCCGGCCTCCCGGCTGAATAGGGCTCACGTGGGCGTACATCATAGTTTGGGAAGTCCTGGTGTTAGCTTGGATTCTCCTGCATATCAATACTTTATAAGATTGTGTTGTTTGTGATGCCTTAGTTTGCCATCAAGCGCAAAAAAAAAAACAGTTTCAGTCGTCTTATCGCTTTAGAATCGCTTTGTCGTCTGCTTCGTCGTCGTCCGCTTCTTCGCCTTCGTGAACGCCCGTGAACCCACTGCGTTGGCGCGGTGGTCTTACTGCAACAGCGGCAAAAACAACAAGGCCGCTACTCCCTCGATCACTCCGGGTGCTCCTATGTCTCAATAAACTTGGAAGCAAGTGAATATCTACCTCAACGTGAAAGAGCACAAAATTCGAGGGACCATCGGCTCGGTGTAGCACCGCGGAACAGCGTCAAATGTGTCGGTGGAAAACTGAGCTATGCAGTGCGCGGGCTTGGGCATAACTTTCATTCGGCAATGAAGTAAGACGAGCTCAACAGACATTCTCGGAGAGCGATAGTTTTCTGAAACTTGTTTTATTCTGGTTGACAGCCTTTGCGACAGGGTACATATGACCTGCGGGGGGAAGCCTGCACACAAAAAAACGATCCACAAAAAAAAAACCTGCCTGAAGAGCCGTAACAGTTCGCATTTGTCAAAATGAAACGTAACCATGCGAGATGCCTGAGAACTTCGGGTAGAGATGAGCTTTTGTGTATAGTTTCTATTCAATTTTATTTGGTTTGCTCAAGCTCTGAACGGTAAGAGCTGTCCGACAGAAAATGCTTTTTTCCGCTGTGTCGATTGGTGTTAATACACAAGGGATCAGCAACGCCAGCCAAAATCAGGTTGTGGCATAATAGAACACCAAAAAAAAAAATTAAGTCTGATTTGGTAAATGCCCTTTTATTTCAAGTTATACATACCGAGAATCGCTGCTCTTCCTTCAGTGATTGTACTGATCTTTTGAAGCACAGTTGTGCTCAAAACATGTCGCATCTATAACAGTTGTAACCACCAAAATGCATCAAGCAAACATTGTATTAAAAACGGTCGCCGCAAGGCAGTGTGGAAGTTCCGATTGAGACAGACCAACGGATATACCGCTACGGAGCGAGTGCTCAGGGAGATTCCAACCTACGGAACACTTTAGCACGCCCTACTACGTCTTATGCCCTGTGTAAGCTTACCCTCTTTAGTTGTGCAATGGGGTGAATGTAAGTTATGAATCAAATAACGAAACAAATCTAAAAACGCTTTTTCCTGCCGCTCTTCTACCGCTCTCTCTACCTTTTTTAAACAGTCTTTTCGTGGGCTGCTTTCTTTCGCGAAGACATAAAATCTGATGCTTTTCTGCCTGGTGCTGTTATTGTAGCACCTTTGCACAAAACGGGTGAAGACACCCATTAAAAACCGTGAATAAACGGCCGACTTAAAGACTAGTGCTAACCTGAAAATTCCCAAACGCCGGGCGTACAACGCGCCTTGACGCGGCCAGAAAACTGGGGAGAACTACAGGTACCAAAATGCACCGCGGCAGCGGTGGCGACGTGCAACTCCTGGTGAGATCGGTCTATTGTTCCAGATGCCCACGCGTGTACAAAAGGGGCTCTGCGTAATGAGCCGGAGTCAGCCTCGCGGAACGCTCGATCCTGCTCTTTCGCCGACATCGACGCCTACGACGCTATCCTTTTCCCTTTTCTTTTTTTTTTGTTTTGGGCACAAGTTCGCCCAATTAGACATGTAGTTTCTACAGCTATTTGGCGCCTACTCATTTGTCATTTGTGACAGTATCACTCCGCCAGTCTATCACGTTTAATATCATCAACATCAGTGGTTCACGGCTTAACAAAATACATTTTTTAAAGATTCCAGCGGGCGTGGTTGGCGACGTCGTCGCCGAGAAGCACCTAGTTCTGGCAGTGATGTTCTAACTCTCCCCTGTCCGGGTTTACGTCACAAAGTCGTGCTGTATACGCTTTTGTATATGGTGGTTTCTGTGTGACGACGTGAAAACTCGACGGTCGTCTCTCCGTTAAAGTGGTCAGTGTGCCTCTTCGTCGAATCGATAGGCCTAGCAATCGCCAATATTAAGGTCAATGGGCTTCGTGAGCGCCAATGGCCTCTTTCCGCGGCCTCTGTTTGCCCAGGCTCAAGTTACGTCGCCAGAGCGTTGTAGTATAAGCGTTTGTTTATTTTTACGTTGGTTTCTGTGGAACAACGTGAAATGCTTTGGTCGCCCCGGTACGATGCGTTAGAGGATCGAGTGAAACTACCGCCGTGCTGCCTTATCGGACTCCGTTTGCTTTCCTGCTGGCTTTATTAAATAAAGGATGTCCTCGAAATAAGGCCCTCATAGTTGTATGTATGTATTCATTTTTGAAACGCCCTTGCCAGGCCAGGTCGTTGCGATTTGTTGCACGATATTTAAGGTAAGCAATGATTATCTTGTCCTTCCATTTTTACACATAAAGGCGCCATCTGTCGCAGGTAGAATTGTGCTCTATCGTCACCCACAACAATATGAGGGAGACGAGGGTGATGAACGAGACGACATAACCGTGCATCGCATCGCGACTACGTGGTCCCGCTCGATCAGCGCCCAGCTTGCTCCAAGCTCTCGCGCTTGAAACCGATGTTGCCAATGTCGCCATGTCGCGCAGCAAATGACAAAAGCAGATCAGTGTTTCACACGTTAACGTCTTCGAGAGTGGGGTTGTTGGGGATTTCTCGCTTGTTTCCGCTTCTCGCTTGCGCGCATACATCGGAAATATTTGAAGAACCTCATCAACGACCGTGTCGATAGTCGTTGTTTAACTGCCGCTAAAGAATGCATGCCTTCCGTAATCATGAATTGCTGGTCACACCGCTTATACATCGTATACAATACAGTCTGGCAGATATCAGTCACCGCGATAACTGTAGTACGAATGCCGCGTGCTAAGTTTCTCCTCGAACTCGTTGTCATGCGGCATTCGAATCTAAGATCTCATGGTGACAAGTTCGAACCTGTCTGCTGTCTGTCTTTTCTATAGTGTATAAGGAGTGGACCCCAGCTTTGCGTTCGTACTCTGTACGCCTTGCAACAGCCTCTAAGGTAGCTTTTCAGTACCTGATAGTGTCACTCTGCACGCACTGACAAACCTCCTACTAGATTAAGGACACTGAGCCTTGCTTCTCTCATTGATTTTACCTTTGTCGCCGAGCTTCTTCTCTGTGGTATTCGTAGCCCCTTGCGTTGATAGCGTCTCGGCGGCAGCGCCAGTTTGTACAGCTTAGATGCTGCGACTTTTGATCGCTCAAGTACAGGCACCATATAATTGGCGAACCTTCGACTCCCATGAACGATACGAACCCCGACAGGGTGCCCACCCGGCGTCTGGGCTAGGAACGCGGTGGAAAACCTCCGCTCTTTACGAGCATTTCCGGATTGCGTAGTATATTTTATGAATCTTTTGAGCTAAAATGTTCGGTTCAGTTTTTCTGCATTTCGGATGAAAACTGCCTGTTGTAGTCATGCACGTAGATGCTGTAACATAGGCACGATGCATACGCCGTAGCGATGTTGTAATCACTCAGCGCACAATCGGCGGTCCCGTCGGCGTCTGCTTTTCCATACCTGTTAAGTGCGGCCGGTGGGCAGGAATGGGTGAAGTCACATTACGTGAAAACTATGACAATGTCGAGTTTGCTCTGGGTCTACTGTGGGTGGACAATAAACATTGATGCACGTGAGGAGATGCAAATCTGTTTGCTCGGTGTTATGCGCGAGAGTTGACTTCTGCTCACAAGTGACCAATGGTTTCTCTTTTGCTATTTAACAATCTTAACCGTGCGTAAAGTGACCAATGTAGGGCACTAAAATAAAAATTTTCTTTTTCGTCTAGATTGGGTGCCAACGCCGACAATATTTCTGGATGCAAAGACAGTACTTACCTGATGGCCAATAACAGAAGCTCTTCAAATAAGCATACATTGTCGGACTGCAGCAAGAGGAATATCCAGAACAAATTAGAGACGTGAGATTCGTGTTTACCGTATCCTATTCTTCGGATTGCCTATCAAAAGACGTCGTTAATTGCCTTGCGCCTGATTTATTCTATGCCAAGTTAAGATACTTTCAGTAATTATTTCCAATATTGTGCTTTCACGACTTTTGCTGTGCCCTTTCAATTTTCTTTTGTATTTACTCCTTCTGGGGCCCAAACGGGGCCTGTAGTGTTGTGAAATAAATAAAATAAAAAGTTGGTCCTTTGTAAAAGTATATTGCCACGCGCGTCTCCGACCAAGCCCGCCCGTGGCCGACTTGTCGTGCTTGGCTTCCACGCAAAGGTTCGAGGTTCAATGCCTAGTCGCGGATAAACTCTTCTTCTTTTTTTTTTTTTTTTTTTTTTGATGTCGCGTTTTGCTAAGATCGGGAACCCTGTTGCTGGTTCGAGGTCCGAATGTAAAGAAATGAAGGATAGTCATGCAACGAACAAAATATGGCTATCAAATGCTAAATTTCACACTCCCACGTTTGCTAAATAGTTTTTGAGTTGACAATATTGATTTTGATAGTCTAACTTTTAAGGATTTGCGCTTATATTTTTGTGTGTAATTTTTATTTTCGTTTTGTGGTTTGCACTGGGGTGAAACTTGGTTTGTACAGATGTCAACCGTAGGTCTGCAACGGTTTCACTGTATACTTTACCGTTTCCGTACTTTTTGCGCATGCTTGCTGCTGAACAGTGTAAGTGGCCCGAAGATCAGTCAAGCTCCCTACTGCTGCTTTTCTCCTTTGCCCCCCCCCCCCCCCCCTTTATAAGATGGAACGGATTAGATGGATGGATTAGTGGCTTGCTCAGGGCATCAGTGCATGTTTGATATTGGTGGCTTGGGCCACAAAACCACCGACAGTCATCGGGAGGTTGCGGGCTAAGCCTCAGAACATTTCACTCTTCACACCACTCGTGAGAGCGCGAAGTTTCTTCTCCTGGGCGGTTTCCGTATCGGCTCGGGCACCTAGGCGTAGGACATCTTTGACAAGGCTTGTCACGCTTTCGTTGTGGCCTTGCGTCCTTACTTGAACGTCCTCCACTCGCTGCCGACGGTGATGGTTGATGAGCGTCTGCTTCAATTCGGCGTCGCAGGACTCCTATGAGGTAGAGGAAGCTTCGTGGTTTTTAAACTAGTGCCCCGCAGTGCCTTTAAGCGACAAGCAGAGGTTCCGGAGGCGATTTTGTGGTGTCCAGTTGTTGTGTCGCACCACTCGGTTGTAGCAGTTGAGTCAGTCCTCAACGCCCTCGTAAATCTCGCTGTACAACAGTGTCCATAGGAGGTAACCAATAGAAGGTAACCGACAAAACGGCCAATTGATGGCTGCTGCTATTCGGTTCGAATTGTCAGCGTCTTCTTCGTATTCGGCAGCTTAGACAGTTGAATGAATTCCGGAGGCTGACCTTGGTTGTGGCGGCTGACTTGGGTTTCGGGTTCGTTGGCAGCGGTTAGATTTCTGGGATTTGAAAAAGATCGAGCCCGGCATCTTTTGAGGAGTACGCTTCACGGGAATTCAATGCGGTACCCTGCACGTCCACCAAATGTCATGAGCGAACAAAAGATGGAGCGGCGAAGAGCTAAAGGAACTAAAGTTTAATGGCGAACTTGTGCCACTGCAAATAAAAGATGGATAGCTGAGAAGAATTACAGGGCGTCGTGGGCGTTGGCGCCGGCAAGGATGCATGCTGACTCGAGTGCTGCCGAGAGACTGACTCCGGCTCGCCATGTTGAGCCCCTTATGTACACTCGTGTGCTTCTGGAACAATCGGCGTAGAAAGTTCGGCGTATAACATTCGTACCTCGAACCAGCAACAGGGTTTTTGAATTTACCAGAACGCGACATTTAGAGAAACAACAAGAGGGGTGCATCCTCGGCCCTTTGCGTGGGAAAAAAGCATGATAACTATTCGGCCACGGGTGCGCTTGCTCGGAGACGCGCGTGGCGTTATTAATGTTTCGAACACGACTACAAACGGCTAAATTAAGAGCGGAGTGGAAATTTTTACATGCACATAAAAATTTATTGAAAAGCAATGCTCCTTTGAAAGTAAATGACAACATAACAGGGACTTTCCTATAGATTTTATAGATTGCGGGTTTCTTAAGCGTATGCTCGATTCTTGGTTAAAGTAATGGCACCATCTCCCGCTAACAACGGAAAACTCTTTACTACGAACTACGAAAGGTTCTTATAAAAGTCTAATAGAACTGGAAACTAAAACGGTACGACAAAAAATCATATTTTGATATTGTCGGGAAATGACAAAGTCCTACCACGATAATTTAACCGTGGAGACAAAAAAAATAACTAGCGCCTTTTTGTTATGGAGATTCTCGGCGTTCTTAACGTCGAGTTACGAGGCTCGTGTCTTGAGCTTTTACGAGCCGTAAGATCCTCTTTTCATTTTCTTGACCTACGAGCCTGTGAGTGCGGCCTGCTCCACAGATATGCCCCATTCCCCTCCCCCGCCCCTTCCCCCCTTTTACCGAGGGACGTTACGGGGCAATCGGAAATAGAAATATAGTTCAAGTTTGATAGAAACAATGCCAGTAGAACTGCACAAGAGCTTTAGTGTTCGTGTTGTCATTGAACACGTACTGGATTCTTCTGCTCCCCCTCTGTTGAACTGGTTGCCACAACAGTTGAGACCTTCACAGGTGAATTCTCGAAATAGGCAGGTTTGAGGCGCTTTGGACGTAGCGCGCCCCATAATATGTTGCGGAATATTGTTTAGTGCAACTTCAAACTTTTAAGACAAACAGAAACTGGGTTCACCAACCAGGGGGCGCATACACTTTAGATGCGACGTGCTTGGTGAGTGGCGTCACCACGGACCCCAGCCACGTGGGCACCCATACCCACAGCAGGGTGTACCTGCTTCAGTAGGCGTTCGGTGAGTGGCGTCACTACGAACCCGAGCCATGTGGGTCCACCCACCCACGCCTGGCTGTGGGTGGCTTAACTCGTGTCCGGGTAAAAAGGATCCTGGGGGTTGAGCTGAACCTGAGGTTTGTTTGGATCTTTCGGTCCCCCTAGGCGAGGAAATATACAACTCCTGCCCCTGCTTCGCGTGTCCTGGCTTGGCCCGACCAGGATGATTCAGCCAGTCGCCATTCTCCAACTATCATTTCTTTAACGTTCTTTTCCTTCTGTTGTTCCTTTCTTATATCAACTTCTTTCGCGGCAAGGGCTAACCTCGGGTGATGACGGATCTCTCTCTAGACACACACACGGTTATAGTTTCTTGGTAGCATTGGCGTAGCCAGAAAATATTTTTGGGGGGGTGTTTCACGGTGCTGGTGCAACCACACACAATAAAAAAAAGGAAATATATATATATATATATATATATATATATATAAAGAGAGAGAGAGAGAGAACAAAATAAAATTTTGGGGGGGTGTTCTGACTCCTGAACACCCCCCCCCCCCCCCTGGCTACGCGCCTGCTTGGTAGCACTGGTAGCGTAATTGTGCCAGCCAAGCCATTCTTGTTATTTCACATTACAAATCCTTTTGTTGGCGTCGGTGGTGGGCGGTGCGCCACAGATTCCGAATACTCTTTGCCTTCTTATGCCCCTGCATTTGTTTTTTCAAAACCCAACACAGTCCGTTTCCCTATAAGGGGTTGCTTCGTCCTCACTTTTAAAAAAGCATCTGAAGCACCAACGTTTACAAGATTCTCTGTCCTTTAAACCCTAGATGACGAAAAGCTACTGGCTAAGCTTTCGGCTTTGCTTGCGTCTAAATGCCTTAATATCAATATTGGCAAAGCTGTGCCAATCTTTCTGGTTTTTCTCATAGAAAGATCTTTCTGGTAATCAGCTCATAAAAGTTGAAATAGAAGTCCACAGCAGAACACTTCTAAAACAGACATGTCCAGGCGGACATGAGATAAGGATCAGCCCACATCGGACACTGAACAGTATCTGAGGAGTTATCTTCGACACTGATCTCATAAATTGTAGCGAGGATGGAACCCTGGCTGGACTCCAGACACGGGCAGTGGTTGCCGTTAAGCGGTTCAGCATCCGTAGAGACGGGCTGGAGCAGCGAACCAAGCATCTGATCGTGACTTTTCAGCTGCATACTCCTCCAACGACGGTTAATTTTGCTTTCCTACTCTGCAAAGGTCTTGAAGGAATGTGGGAGGGTTCCCGTCGCCATGAACGATTCTACGAGGTTGTACTCTTCAGTCTAATGTTTGGCCATACACGGCTCACACATGGTCACCTTTTGCATGGTGAAGATGTCCCGGAGTGCAAACGTAGCCCTTTGTCTACACTTCATATTCCAGTGGAATGTAATGGGTATGGCCTAGAACGCCTTAACCACAATTCACTGCTTTAAAGAGAACATACTCGTCCACATCTGATTACTTTAGTTGGCGATGAATCTCTCATTACGTTCACACTCTTGGGGTTTAGGTTCTTCAAAGCAATCGGCCTTCTGCACCGACTGTGGTTTTACTCTGTGTTGAACTCATGTCCATACCTTTAGCACTTATACACAGATCATGTCCATTGTTTTATCCTGTCATCTGCTACTAAAGCTCTTCCTTTTCCTTAACCCTCTCCCAGCAATAGTGTATGTACCTAGCGTATAATAGCGTCGGATGCGTTTGCGCCGCTAAACCGATTCAATCAATCAATTAATCAACTGGGTCGTCTTTACCTGAAAACTATATAGAGACTTGCAAGCACGGCGTTCCGTCTGGGTCCTATATGTGTATGTGCAGTAAGCGCGTGAAAGTAGCGTCGGTAGGCTCCTGATGGCACCTGCTCGTTCCAATAAACATAGATCTGAAGGTGACCAGATTCCCTGTTTGCAGTAGTGTATCAGGGTACAAGTTTAACAGAAGAGTAGAGGGGATGCGGAGAATCTTTCAACGTCCTCAATGTAGCTCGAAAGTTTGGTAACCGCGAGATTTCTGTTCCTCGTGATCTGCAAGTTTAATAACTAGCATAAAACTACTGACCTT